AGCACTCAAGTGGTTAACCGTGAATGTATTGTCACTGAGCTGATGAAAAATGCTTTCGTGCCAATCAAAGTTTATTCTCATCTTTTGCTTTGTTTCTCCTCATGTTGCAGGTGCAAATATTGCGAGGAAATATACTGGTTTTTGACCGCGAGTAAGGTCTTGGATGAGTAATTTGTTTTGTTTTTGCTTGTCGCTAAGTTGTTGAATTCTATCTTATCACATATCAAACACTTTTTGATTGCATATTTGGCTTCTCTTCTGCTATTTGTAAGGGGATTACTAACTAAGTTTGTTGGCCACCTTCATTATCAGGTTGACATGGCGCCATGCAGAATATAATTATTACTGATCTTGTTGATATACCTAGAATCTAAAGAATCAGAGGCGGCCTATGTGGGGCTCTTATGGGATTTCTTTGTCAGGGTTTAGTTTTAAGCAAAACTCTTTACCTTGAGAGCATTTAATGAGCACAGCGAAGGATATTACGCAAACGAACTATGTATATACATAAGTGAAACCATGCGCACAGTGATACAAGACAAAAATAATAAAGGCCCAGTAAAATAATGCAGATATATAAACACTGCGCAATAAATAATTTGTCAAATGAATGATCAGTTTATATAACTGGTGCATAAAAAGGACAGCTTTTTATACTTGTCGTGTCATCGTGTTGAAAAGATTCACGATATTATATAGGACATTATATGAAAAAAAATCCATGAAAGTTGCCAGCTCTCAACACAGAGAGCTTGTGCTTAGACTAAAGGACAAGATTAGCTTCACTAAAATTGATATCGTAAAGAATGCAAGGAGAATCAAATTTAACAGACAATTAACTGAAACTCAAAATCAGGCAGGCAGCCCTATTCTTTCCCCAGTCCCACCAATCACAACTCTAAATTGATCACAAAAGAATATCGCCAAAGAAGCCGTATCGAGAGGTGTGAGGCCATAAAATTATACGTATTTATTCTAGATTCCAACAGGTCGACAAACAGTGCGAAAACTCACTATGATTTGCAAAAGATGCATGCAAAACATGCGATATCCTCAACATTCATAACGCTAAATCTTCATCCTTATGTTTGCAACCATTTGAGCATGTTGGAAATAACTTTGTAGTTATGTACATACAATAGATAATTCCATTGTAAAAGTAAGGAGATGTTTTTATTTCTGCATAGTAATGAGAACAGTACATGTGAATGGTTTAAGGACTACGTGTGGAATCGTTTGGGAAGTTTTATTGCAAGAAGAAGAACATTTTTATCAATGATATCAAGTAGCACAACATTTCGCACCTGAAAAATAAAATTCCTTCATCGAACAAGAGAAGAAGTGAACCAAGA